GCGGCGGTGGCCCGGGGCGCGTGGTAGCCCCGGCTCCGGCAAGGCCCGGCCGCCGAGCGCTGCAGCAGCGGCCGAGCCCGCTCCAGTTAGGGGCGGCTGCGCGAGCGCTCCTCCCCCAGCCTCGGAGCGCCGGGTCTCCGCCCCGCCCGGAGAGGTGCCGGACCGAGCATGCGCGCTGTGCCGCCGAGCCGCGTGAGACCCCCCGCGCGCTCGCGCCCACCCCTCCCGCCAGCTCCCGCGTGAGTCCCAGTACGCGTCGCCTGCTCCAGGGCCATCTCCGGGGCGGGGGGCAGTGTCCCCGCTTTCCGTGCCACCCACTCCTCGGACACCATGGGCAGAACCTATTTCTTTTGTTTGTTGGCCTGGGTACCCTCCCTGGGCCCCTCCCTTTTTCCCGCATGCTCGGGACCCGTCCAGCTTGTCCTTGCTGACCTGGGCGGGGTACTCGGGGGCGACGGCGATGACGGGAGAGGACCTGGCCAGATATTAGGGGGTTTGTCCTTTCCTGCAGTCTTGCCCAACTTCCAGGCCCAGTTCTCTGGGGAGTCCTTGGCACCATCCCTGGGGTTGTGATGTTGAGAGTAGCACCTGGGATTTCCCGTGCCACTTCCTCCCGACTGGCAGCTCTGCAGACACCTCCACCCCTGAGCATCATGCTCAGGTCCTGGAGTCAGGGAGGAGGACTAGGGGGATCCAGAGATCCAGACTGCTCAGACTTCTGCTCAGCTACCATACCTAAGCACTCCACACTGAAATGAACACACTGACTCAAGGTAACATCATCTGCATTTTATTTGCACCTCATTTGCAAGTTAATTTTCAACCCTGCTCCTTCCACTCCAGGTGCCTTCTCTCCCATCTCCCCTCAAATTCCCCAGAAGCCCAGAAAAAAAGTATTTGTTGGTCTTTGCCAAGGTAGACTCATCCTTCTCAGCAGGCCTGCCCTGTGTTCTCAGGGGAAGCCTTCATCCAAGGCCACAGCAACTGCGAGAATCCTCATAAGACCACACCTTGACCTCAGGCAAGGCTAGATCTTTTCACAGGACAGAACTGATTTTGGAGGTGAACAGTATGATAGGCACAGGTGGGAAAGGCCAGTGGAAGAATGCTGTGACAGCACCCAGGAGTCAGAGCTCAACTTCTGCCCTGGTGGGCTGTCTTCAGGTCCTCAGAGGCGTGATGGGGTTCCTCCACCCACCACCACTGTCTCCCCATTGATGTAGCTGGCGTCTTCAGAGCACAGGAAAGACACGATGCCTGCACAGTCCTCTGGCTTGCCTAGCCTGGGGCATGGGGGAAACAAGAGAGGAAGTAAAAATCAAACGGGTCAGGCCCCCTCACCTGGCCCACAGGGAATGAAATTTGCTTAATCAAGTCTATGACCATATCACCCTGAGCATGCCTGATCACAACTGATCTCAGAAGCTAAGCAAGGTCGGGCCTGGTTAGTACGTGGATGGGAAGGAATGAAATTTGCTTAATCAAGAATTATCAGATGATTTTTTAGGATCAGTGTACAAGCTTCCTGCCCATCAAATAGGGTCAGCATGAGGATAAGCTGTTATAATTTAGCATAAGCTTAAGTACTGTACTCTACAGAAACCATGACACATATTCAAATATAAACATTCTGTTTTTTAGAGAGCTCAGGACACCAAAATCAAAAGTGATATAGATAAAATGGTGAGCGATTATTTCATACTTCAAAGAATTTGTTTCACATGTGTGCATACTACTCTAGTGTCGGGGAGTCTGTGTAACAGTAAATGTTGTGTTTAAAATAATTTCATTTGGACAAGTTCAATATACAGACAAATTTTTCAGGGATTTATTTTTGTCCCTTAAAGTCAGGTTCATTTTGTGAGAAGGTGCTAATTCTTATTGTTTGTATAAGTGATTTCGTACCTAGAGAACACTTTAATCTGACTGCCATAGAATGCTCTAGAGGTGGGAAGCATGAGTAACTCACCCTAGCTACACATTGTAAGGTCCCACCTTGGACCAATTAAAGAATATCTGATAGTGGGGCCTGATCGTCTGCATTTCAGAAATGATTCTAATGTGAACCCAAGATTGAGAATGCATGGGGCTAGATCATTCATAGGAACTCCAAGATGACAACATCCTGATTTATTAGTGAGTTGTGAACCAGGCCTGACATCAGAATGACTTTAGGAGAACTTGAGAGAGTCTGGGATATTTGGACCAGGAAAAGTTAGGCACTGCTGGCATTTGTCCTGGAAGGGACAAGATGGAGAAGTTAAAGACAAGAGAGTGCCCAGAAGCCAGAAGCTGGAGAGGCTAGGCCTGACATCAGAATGACTTTAGGAGAACTTGAGAGAGTCTGGGATATTTGGACCAGGAAAAGTTAGGCACTGCTGGCATTTGTCCTTGAAGGGACAAGATGGAGAAGTTAAAGACAAGAGAGTGCCCAGAAGCCAGAAGCTGGAGAGGCAGGGAGCTTAGAGGAAAGGGAGCCCGAAGAAAGTCTGAACAGTTCGGCCAGCCAGTTGGGAAAGAGAGTGATTTGCTTAGACAAGGGAAGTTTGGAGCTTAGTAAAGCTCTTCATTCCTTTTATTTGGACTGTAGGATTATCAACATGGGCTTTGGAAACATGAATCTTTATTCAAGGGGAACTAAAAAAGCGTGGTTTTGGTTTAGGTCCCTAGTCTCCATGGATGCCCAGAGGTTAAGGCAAATATCCAGGTGGAAAAAGGAGTCAGGGCCTCTGCCAGAGCTTTGCTCTGCTGAAGCCTGGATGCCTCTGTGTTTGCTTTCTGCAATGGAAACAGAGTTCTTGGTCAGGCCCCTGCAGTGATACAGTGTTTATGAACTTGTGAAATTTGTGAGACAGAGGAGAGCATGCCTGTGTTATCTGTGGGACTGAGACAGTAAGCTGTGGACTGTGTTAGGGACCAGACCTTGGTCTCTATCCCTCCTAACCCTCCCCTGTGACAGCCTTACCTTCTTATCTGCAAGTTTTCTTTCATTTTTTCCTCTGTTGCCTTGTCCTTCCACAACTGCAGGAGGAAGGGAAATATCTTTATATGCAGTAAGAGGAAACTGAGGGACAGAGAGGGGAGGAAACTGCCCATCTTCACATCAGTAGAGAGGAAGGGTGGAGGTTTCCAGGCCGTCCCAGCCTACCCCTTCTCACTACCCACCACCCACACCTCAAAACCTCTCTTGTTCACTTCCTATTTCTTCCTAGCTCCCAGCTCTCCCCACCACCCTCTTTGGTTTCATTCTTCTCAGGTTCTATTGAGGTATTTCACTGGGTCTCCCCAATTCTCATCTACTTAAGGAGATACGAAACAGTGTGAGTAGAGTCTGAATTTCTCAGTCTCCATCCTGTGCCAGGAAAGGAGTATTTAGGACTCTGATCTGGAGAGGGTGGCTGGTATGGAGAGAGAATATGGTAAAGCCTGCGGGGGCGGGGCATGAAAGTGGTTGGGAGCTCAGGACTTAAGTCCTGGGCTTCCCCATCTAGGAAGGTGGATGCCGTTCAAGGTGTCCAGTGGGATGGAGGGCTCCCCTTCCTCACCAGTTTGCTGAAGTTAGTCTTGATTAATCCAGGTGCTAGGCAGTTCACCCTAATGTTCTTTGAGGCCAGATCTATGGCCAAGTTCTTGGTAAGGCCCAGCAAGGCTGTTTTAGTAACATTGTAAGGGCCCATGCCCTGGGGAAAGAAGAGAATAGGTTAGTCTCCTAGTTTCCAGTTCATTCTTAGTTCTTATAATTAGACATCAAGGGCAGTGGTCAACAGGGTATTTCCTGTAAGGGAGGGCCACAGTTAGGGCACTGTCTTGGCTAACCTAGGTTTGGCTTCATCATGACAAGGCATCTATTTTGTGGGAAGCAATTTGGTGATGTGATTCTAAGAGGGGACCCAAACTTGTTTGGGCAACTGGAGAGGTGGAGAGATGTGGGATGGAGAACAGGATGGAGGTGGCAGACAAACGTGTTCTTACAGAAGAAGGAATGAAGCCTCCTATGGAAGACACAATCACCACTGCGCCGCCTCTGGAAAAAGAAAAGAGCTGACCTTTCTCTCGATGGAGACCATGACCTGCAGCCTGGGTGGGCCCATCTCACCCAGGCTCCCTCTCACTCTCTATACCCTCGTTTCTCCATCTCTGGCACCACTTCCTTTGTTATCAGGGCTGTGGCCTTCACGTTAATGTTCAGAACCTGAAGTGGAGAGAAGGGGAAAGAGTGTGAGGGAAGAGCAGAGGGGGAGGCATGGAGGCAAGGAGGCCCCGCGGGTTCCTAGGATCTGTTAGAGCTGATGGGGTGCTCAGACCTTACAAAAGGAGTATCCTCACCAGCTTATTCAGCTGGATAATGACACATTCGGTTTAGGGGAGAGAGAATGAAGCCTGGTTCATCTTGTTTCCTAACCAGCCAAGAATGTTTGGCCCAGAAAGGGCCTAAACTCTCAGTGCTGCTTTGGATTTGAGCTGGGTTTTCTGTGTTTCTTCAGAGTTGGAGAGCCTGCAATTGGGTCAGCTCCTGGACCTGCCCTAGAGTGGACCATGCTTCTCAGGGAAGACATGGCCTGACCTCAGGCACCTGGGATTGTTCCAGCACTTCTCTGGCTTCTGAGCTTAGGGAGGGAAATGCTCTCGGCTCTCCAGGATGGATTGTCCAGCTGGACATTTATTGGAAAGTGGGATCATGAGGAGGCACCTTCTGGGGAAGCTGGGGAACAGGCACCAATCAAAATCCCTGCATATCCATAATTTAAAACGAATGTATGATTCCTGTTTACATTGTTTTAGACACTGCTGGGATATTCCCCTCTACGCCCCGCCCCATGCCAACTTCTTATTTTGAAAAATTTCAGTCTTACAGAAATAGAAGTATAATGACCAGACTTCTTCACCTAGATTCACCAATTTTTCACATTTTGTCCCATTTGCCCACTCTGTGTATCTATACAGTTTTTTATGAACTACTGAAAACTGTAGATATGATACTGCTTATTCCTAAATACTTCAGCATACATTTCCAAAGAATAAGGATGTTCTTTACACAACCACAATCCATATAATACCCAGGAAATTTAACATTGATAATAATAATTTTATCTAATATGCTGTCCATATTAAATTTTCCCCAATTGTCCCTAAAAGTATCTTTTTAAAAAAATCCAGGGTTTAATCAAGAATCAACTACTGCATTTAGAGTTGGTATACTATATTTTTTAAAAATGTAAACTAAAAAGAAAAATTACTTGGTTTAAAATTGATTTTCATGTGGCCTCCATTCAAACTGTTCATGAAAGACATTTCTGTACTTGAAAGACTACCAGAATCAGGAACTGGCACACTGAAAAACATTTTGGCACTTTGGTCTTGATGTGTATGAAACACTGATAAACAAATTATAATATCTTAGGATTCTTAAACTTTTGTGTTGAGGAATTCTTGACATCAGAGTAAAAGACAAAAGCATGGGAGAGCGTAAAAAATTTAGCATTTCCAAATCATGTGGGAAAATTAACCTTAGTAAACAAAGACAAGTATTTTAATTAAGGCTTTATAATGAAAGGATGTAGGTGTGTGAAATATATTATGAATATGATGTAATTATACACTTTTACGTAAAAAACAATATTCCAGCACTTGAATTTAGACATCTGGATCTCAGATTTTCTTGACAATGCAGTTAAGAAGAAAAGAGTATAGGTCTTTTTCAAAGGCTCTATGTTACAAAGCAGCAACTTTGGTCATTTCACCAGAATTGGTATTTCACTTAACTAGCAGCTATTAATGTTTCCAACTAATGAAAAATTGTTTGGATATATGGCAGCTGAAAAGGAAGCCAGTGGGTGTATAAGTTTAAGAGTATTATTTATTGGCATATTAGCTGCCATGTCTCTGCTGGAAATAAACCAGTAGGAAGAGCTTGGGTAAGCTTGTTGGGAGAGAGGTGGGAGAGGGAAGCAGAAGGCAGCTGGCAAAGAGCAAATGGAAAAAACTGGGGAGAAGCAGAAATGAAAGAGAAGGGCGGGGATAGAGGAAGCCACCCCCCACCTGCCCTTTACCAGGTGCACTCCAGGTGTGTGGCACATCACAAAGATTCCTCGCATTTGCATTGCACTTGACAAATGTATTCTAAAAGCAGACTGAGTTTGTGCTGAATGTTTTCCGAGGCCTGCCTGCTGCTACTTTAATCCCCTCTCACCTTGTCCCATACATCCTCGGTGATATCCAATAGGCTTCCAAAGACAGGGCTGACAGCAGCATTGGAGACCAGGATATCAATACCTCCATGAAGGTTCACAGCCTAGAGAGAGGAGTGGGGTCTGGATCAGGACTGCAAGTAAGTAAGGGAGGTGCATTTATCCATGTTGACAAAGAATTCCTTCTTAGGAACAGATGTCAAAATGACATCTCTTTTTCTTGAAACATTTTCTCTCCAAAGTTACCCTAAGCTCTGCTGCTAACCATTTAAAGTTGTCTTTTTTGCTGTTTGTTTTTGCAGTCTTTTCTTCCTGCCTCCTCTTCTTCTAAGGCAGTCTCTGATCCTTTGGGGAGCTCCTTCATTCTCATGACTTCAACTCTCACCTCAAAATCCATTTCTAGACCCCCTTCTGTTTTCACAAAGAGTCCTAGCTCCATTTCTCCAAGTGTTTACTGTCCAGTTCTCCTTGAATGAGTTACCATGATCTCAAAGTTAACCTGTACACAGTTACCTGATCACTGGGAGTGGGTCAGTCTAACCCAGTGACTGGTGAGGTCATCTATCCCAATGTCCTTATGGTTGAGGTGAGGTTCAGGGAAGTTCATTTCTCAAGGTCATATAGCTCAGTAATGACACATTAGGGCCAGATGAGAACAGGTAACCAGCTCATTCGGTGTTTGGGAAAGGTGAAGTGATTTGCTCAGAACACAAAGCTAGTTAGTGGTGGCAGAACTGAGGTTAGTCTCCTACTTTATAGCTTTTGTAAATACCCTCTGAAAATGATTTGGGGTCATTATGAAACTGGCTGGCCAGGAGAGCCATGATGGGAGAAGACACCAGCCTGGGTTTAAACAGTTCCACACTTGGTTATGATGTCATTTTCTCTCTCTTTTTTTGGCTTGGAGGCATAGAAGATTCAAGGCAGAAACAGATTAGACTGGGAAAGCCAAGAAAGCAACATCTCACCTCCTTAATAAGTTGTAAGAAGGTAGTGAAGGCATGTGCTGGAGTAATGCATGGCCAGGCAGAATCTGCCAACAAGGGTTTTCAACACTATGCAACCCAGAAGCTGACTTTGCCAGGACTAGCAATTTTGATGCCTTGGACAAGTAGCACTAAATGGACCCTTGGTCAACTATGTGCTTCAGATTTGGCACGTGAGGTGTGTTATTAACAAGGCACACCATCTGCTAGTTCCTGCTTTAAAACTAATTATTCCTGCTAACAAGTTGCTAAGATCAGTTGTTTCTACACTGCTGAAGGAATGCCTGGGCTGTCAACATGTAAATCAAATAAAAATTAAAGTCCATAGTCTATATGACAAGCAAACAGAAAGGACATTGTTGGGTGGGAGGGGGGAGAGGGAGGAAGGAGGGGGGTTTCGGTGATGGGCCACAATAATCAACCTCATTGTATATTGACAAAATAAAATTAAGAAAAAAAAAAAAGTCACATAGTCTTTTAAAACCAGTATTAATACTTTCTCGTACAATCTAAGTTTTGGTGTCCTGGCACAAAGTCCTAGTCACCCATCTTGCCTCTGTGTAAACCTTGCTGATGGACTTGTGGCTAGGAAAGTTCAGAATAAGTCAGAAAGCGATGTGTGTTGTGCTCTGTGCATGTGTGTTTTGGGGGTGGGGAGAGAACAATGGATTGCACCAGAATCATCTGGAGAGCTTTTCCTCTGCCTGTATCCCATCCCCCTCTCCTTCCAGGCCTGTCAGTACAGAGAGGGGGAGAAGGTTGGGTTTTGATTGAACAGAGACAGAGAAGCATAAAAGGTGAATGAAAAAGGTACCTGTGACCACCCTGGTGTCTTCTAAGTCTTGCTGTAAATTGTGTGATCCCTACACTGTGTTCCAATTGTTATTTTTTAATAAAAACTACAATCAGGTGGAGAAGTGGCTAATTTGGTTTCTGCTCACACGATGTTGAGAAGCTTGGTGGGACAGGTTAGGAGGCCATTGGGTAGTACCAGCTTCTGAGCAGCAGCTTTCCTCATTGTAGGGTAACAGCTGGCAATAGGTAGAGCACATCTCCAATGCTGACAAGTATCCCTATCATTCTCCACCCCAGCATTGGTCATACAAACTACCTGAGAGCCACTTTGGTTCATCTCTCCTATTTCTCATTTCTTGACATAGTGTTGGAAAAATCTTGTTTGGTTCCCACTTAATGTCTCTTGGGCACATCCATTCTGGTCCCACTATCACTGCTCCAGACCTGGATGATAGCAACATCCTCCTCACTAATGTCCTTGACTCAGAGTCTTCTCTTTATATGTTTCCTACCAGTACTGGATTATCCTTAATAACTGTTTTCATCTTGCTCAAAATCTCACATGCCTTCTCATTTCCTCCAAGAATGTATAAACTCCTTTGGGAGGTGTAGTGAATTGAATTACGTCCCCCCCAAACTCCCTGAAGCTTGAATTGTGTCCCTCAAGTTTTATGTATTAGAAACTTGGCCTCCACTGTGACAGTGTTAAGAGGGTGGGAAATCCTATTATGGTAATTGAAAGGTGGAGCCTTGAAGAGGTGATTGGATTGTAGGACGATGCAGTAGTGAAGAATTAGTAATGGTAGTCAGGGGCCTGGTCCTGAGGGCTTTAAAAAGAGTGAATAAGGATGTTACTCTCTCTTTGCTCTCTCTGCTTCTACCATCTTGCAATGTGAGACTCCTGGGTCACTGTTGCTACCACCAGATGGACTTTGGACTTTCCAGCCTCAGAAACTGTAAGCAATAAATTTCATTTTTCTTTATAAATCACCCAGTTTCAGTTATTTTGTTATAAGCAACAGAACAGACTAATACAGGAGACTATGGAGGCCCTATCCCCTAACCTTCCAGTGCGGCCCATTTCCCACCGGCACTCCTGAGCCTGTGTTCTCAGCTGTGGAATGACAGTGTTCCCTGCTGTGGAATGACAGTGTTCCTTTCTCCCCTTCAGTCACTTCTCAGCTGTCTGCCCATTTTGCAGGGTCATCTGGAACCTTGTCCCTACTCCATCTGTCCATTCTCACCTACTCATCAAGGTCTAGCTCAAACCCTACCTCTGGGCCACAGCTGTGAGACCTGTTAAGTGGACCTGGTGGGGGCCAGAGGACATTTTCCAGCAGGATTTTGACACTGAATTGCTATGTACATCTCACATGTCTAGTCACTAACTGGCCCAGGCTCCCAAATGGCTCCCTCTGCCCTCAGGTTCAAGGCCTCATTCTCAGGCTCTGTCCAGCAGCCTATGCCAGGCAAGTGGACTTTCTTGGACTCACATTTGGCTCCTCTCAATGCACATTTGAGCACTGGAATTCCTGTAGTTACCTTATACCATCTACCATACCACTGTCTTCCATCATTTAAGGTTCTCCTCTTCTAAGAAGATTATCCAAATTATTTCCACCAGTCTTCCAATCTGTTGGCACAATCCTGTACTTTCGATTCTTGGGTAGATTCTCCCTGTAACTCTGGGGAATGAAATATGCACCCCGAGCGTTGAGGGAAGAGGAGCCCCTTTTGCCTGATGGTTCACATTTTCTTGTGAGGCTGGAAGGCTGGTGTTAAGGACCAACTCTGACACTGGGTTAGACATTTTCTTTGAGATTAAAGTCCAAGTGGGCACCTAAGGCTTGACCTTGTGTTGATAGGTAAGTGCCTGCTAGTCTGTGGGCAGCTAAAGAAGGAAGGGAGCTTGGTAGATCTGGGTTGAATCACAGCTCTTTCCTTATTGAGTGTGGGACCTTGGGAAGTTGCTCTATCTATCTGATCCAGTCTCTGTAAACAGGAAGAACAGTCCTTGCCCTGCTTGGGCTGTTGTCAGGTTTAGAGATAACCCATGCAAGGCTCTGAAAACAGTAAATGGCATGCGGTAGGTGAGTGAAACATGGTGGGTTGCCTACTGCAGGTTCCCAGGGACTCGACTCTATAAGATGAAGAACAGGAGGTTGCTTATTAGCTTGTGGGTGGGAACATCTATTCCACAATTATATTTACCCTTCTCATCTGCCCAATTAGATTGGAAACTACAGGAGAACCAGGATCAGCTGTTTTTTTAGGGTGCCCCAAGGGATGGTGCAAGTTTGAAGCATTAGAGTGTTTTTTGATTCTCTGCCTGGAATGGGATGATTCTCAGACTTTAGGATATTGACATAACAGAAAAGCACACAATAAAAATGTGCTAGTGGACAGGTGTGGGTGTGCAGAATGCACCGTTATGTTTTAGTTAACAGTGCTGTGTCCAGGAAATGTGTCACCAGCGTTGTCCAGGAAAGCAGGGAAGGAGGCTCAGCTGGCTCCCGTTTGCCATCTCCTGGCTCTTTGTCCTTATCCCATTGCTCACCATGGCCACCAGCCGCTTCCGGTCCTCAGCATTCCCCACGTGGCACGTGGTGCCTGTCACGCTCAGACCTTCTCCCTGCAGCTCTGCCACTGCCCGGTCCACATTCTTCTGCTTCCGGCTGCTGATGACCACGTGGGCCCCATCTTGGGCCAGACGCCGGGCAATGGCGAAGCCAATCCTGTAGGGAGAAAGAGACAAAGGCTGTCAAGGCCCATGCAGGGGAAGAGGTTGAGAGTGTGGGCTCTGGAGTCAGACCACCCGGGTTTGAATTCTGGTGCTCCCTCTGTATGATCTCCGTGTGTCCCTATTATGTGTATTAAGGCGTGGCCATTACCATGCAGATGGACATGCTTAGCTCGGTTTTGGCACTGGCTTACTTATTTTTATTATGATCTTAGCCCTCAGCCTTGGTTCTCAGGAACTGACATCACCTTCCACAGGCCCACTATGGGTGACAGGCCTCTTACCCTGCAGGATTGAGGAGAAATGAGCTGGTCGTGCAGCAGCAGCCACTTCCAGTGTGAGGGTCTCACTCAGAAGAGTCCCTGCCCCTAAATATATTCCTTACTAGTCTACATCATTCTCAGAATTCTGTCCTTAGTTATGTTTTGGGGTGCATGTGAAAGGATGGGTGTCCAGTTAAAAATGTAAATATTCCCCTGGGAGAAAGGGTTACACGTTTTGCAGTTGTCAGTCATTGGCATTGCACATACATTTGTACTTTATAATTGCGAAGAGGGGGCATTAGTAAAGTCCTGTGGGAATGAGAAACAGGACTGACAAGAATGGTGGGTGAGAAAAAGGCCGGGCATGGTAGGCCGAAATGTACTAAGCTAACAAAAGTCTGTTCACATGGATCTTATGTCCCATCTAATTAAGGAGGGGGATATGGGAGAACAGTTTGGTGCCCAAATAGGCTTTCTGAAGTATTTCCATAGTGAATGGAGGCAGTGGGATAGGATTTTTGAAATCTGGACTCTTGGATTTGTAGTTTCTGGTCTTCCCAGACGCTAGGTGGGGCTGATTAACTGGGGCAGCCCAGAACACTGGGGGATGGGGTTGATGGGGCAGCACCAAGGTGGCACGTTGTGCCAGATTCAGCGGTGACAAGAGGGCTGGCAGTGGAGGAACCAGGGCCAGGGGATTCAGAGGGCTTCAGACCGACCACGCGAGTGCCTCCGCCCATCCCCCGCGCCGGACTTTGGCCGCGTGTGAGGCCTGAGGACAGGGGCCCGGGCCCGGGCACTCACCCTTCGGTGGAAGCCGTTACGAGGGCTACCTTATTCGCCAGCGGGTCGCGGCGGGTCACCCTGGAGCTGGCCGTCCTTACCGATTTCCATGCCTGGGCACCGGCGCCTAGCAGCAGCCCCGCTTTCTGCATGGCTGTCTGGCCGGGATGAGTAGGTAACAGCGGAGTAGGGCACCCGGCAGGAGGAGGGGCGGGTCGCCTCCCCGCCCCGCTCCCCGCCCGGTTCCCCGCCCGGTTCCCCCGGCCCGCCCCGCTGGACTCTGACCCTCGGCGCGAGCGCCCCCTGCCGGCCACTCCCCTCCGCGGCCAGGTGAGGGACGTGCTCTCTGTCCACGTTTCCTGTAAAGCCCGCCCCACTGCCCGAACCTCAGACTTCCCCGCGCGCCAGCCCCTCTTACCACATCTGCTTGCCCACTTTTTTTTTTTTTTTTTTAGGGGAGAGGGGGCTTTGAGTTGGTTGCTTTTACTTCCCCAAACCTCGAGATGGAATTCCTTCTCTAAGAAAGTCTGAGTCTGTATGTGACAGTCCACAGGAGGGCAAATGTTTTGAGACTACCCGTGGACGTGAGGCCTGTTGTCCCCACGAAGGCCAGCACATGAGCGTGGGGGAGCCTGGGAGAGAAACGTTACGTTATGGGGAGTAGCTGAACTAGGCCTGGCACTGCCCTCTACTCCGGCTCAAGGACTCCTCTGTCTTCACAGGCCCTGGAGGGCAGACTCTGATTTAATCTGGTGGGAATCAGTGTGCACGGATAAAGATCCTGACTGAACAGGATCTCATCCCTCCATCCAAGAGGGCTTCCCCATTTTACCGGGGCTAAGGGGTAGCGAGGAGGCTGGAGAGACCCCCAATCAGAGATGGAAGTACAGAGAGCTCAGGAGCACACTTTCTCCTTAACAGCTATGTCCCCAGGTCTTAGCCTTCATCCTAGTTCAATAAGTATTTATTTATTATTTTTTTTCGTTAAATTTTTATTTTGTCAATATACAATGTATATGATTATTATGGCCCATCACCGACACCTCCCTCCCTCCTCCCTCTCTAATAAGTATTTGTTGAATGTAAAAGCGCTTTGTGAACTGCGTACTACTAAACACATAGTAATTCTTGCCACCATATCGTAATTATTATTGCTGCCACAGGCCAGACTTTTCATCTGTAAACTGAGGATGTGGAGTAGATGATGAATAAAGTCCTCGCCAGCTGTAAATTCTGTGTCCAAGACTTCAGCCTTCACTTCTGCCAAGTGGGCTGAAATGGTCTCCTTCCTGGGTTTCTGGGAAAATTAATACATCTGGGTGGCTATAGAAAGGCCCTAACAGACCCAAGTGCGAGCATCTGTATTGGTTTAAGAAAGTGGCCTCCAAATGTCAGACTGAGAAGCAGTGCTGGTCCCTGGCAATGTTTTCACTAGATCAAAGCAAAATGAGAAAAATAAAGACAATGGAGGGAGTTTCATAAAGCTAAGCTTATTTAACTTAACAGATAGTCTTTTATCTTGGAATATACTTTTGCTCTCTTTTTTTGTTGTTAGTCGTTTCTTTCAGAAAAGATGATGAAAGCAGGTGGATAGGTTTAGAAAATTGTTGTTAGTTGGTGAAATCACCAGTTTGGCAAACTGTATGTCAGTCCTTACAGTTACATAGGAGAGAATCCTGGTCTGTGGAATCCAGTTCTAGAGATCTCTGTTTAATAGAATTCATACTTGCTAAAGATTCATTTAGTATATGTGTAGGTCAGCTGGGCAGCTGAAAAAGGATTTCAGCATTCAAAAGTGTTATAACAGGCATGCACTGGATTTATAGTCTATTCATCAATCGAGTGTTACGGCTGTGGTACTCAGCACATCCCAATGAGATAAGAGAACTGAAGTCTATTTTTCCCCACGTCCGGGGAAAACTGACTCTGACTGGTGCCCCTCAGTCTCAGCCTCATGAATTATTGACAGAGGCTGGAGAGAACCACACTCTTCTTCCTCCTTCACTGCTCAGAGCTAATGCACTGTGGGAGCCCTTCCCAGTGCTCTCCACTTGCATGTGGGGCTGCGAGAAGGTGTTCAGAAGGACTGCAGCAGGAGTTCTCAGGCTTGATTCGAAGGGACAGGCCTGCAGGGCATATTTGATCCCTCTTCACCTCCTCTCCAGAGGTGGACAGCTGGCCCCACGGGCTGAGGTTGGTGGGAGTGTGAGGGAGACCACACTTCGAAGAGCAAATGATTCTGGGAAACATGAATTCTAGCCTGGGAGCTGTTAAACATGACATGACCCCTCCTCGTGTGGGCGGGGTTGATATTTGGCCTCCAGCCCCATTTCTTTTGAACCTTAAAAGTACAGGGAACCTTAGAGAGGGGATCTGGAAACAGAAAAGGGTAGAAGGAAGGCAAGAAGTGTGAGAATTTCTATCTCCTACTCCTCATCAAGCTCGTTTCTTGGAGGGGGGTAGGAAATCTTTGCGGGAAATACATGCATGTGTAGGAGTATCTCTTTGAAATGAGAATCTTTTTTTTTGGCAGCTGGTTGCTACCTGGAACCAAACCCCTGATCTTGGTGTTATAGGGCTGCTTTCTAACCAACTGAGCAAACCGGCCAGTCCTGAAATGAGAAGGTTTTTTTTTTTAAAGATGACTGGTAAGGGGATCTTAACCCTTGACTTGGTGTTGTCAGCACCACGCTCAGCCAGTGAGCTAACCGGCCATCCCTATATGGGATCCGAACCCGTGGCCTTGGTGTTATCAGCACCACACTCTCCCGAGTGAGCCACGGGCCGGCCCCCTGAAATGAGAACTTTAATAAGCAATGGGATTGTTCTTGATGGAGGTGGTACCACCTGCCTATCTTGAGAAAATGCCTCCCTGTTTGAGGATTGTGCTCCTATCTTCAAGGGCTGATTGCAGTCCAGAAGAGAATGGATCAGCTGGGATGGAATTTAAGTTCTGCCTTTGGCGATAGACTTCCTAGATTGGTCACTGAGTCATGCATCATTGACACAAATCAGGATTGGGCAATGTGGGAGGGCTGGCATGGGGTTGGGACAATTGCCAAGCAGAGAAGGTAATAATAAGAGTTTTAATAGCAACTCTTTATCGAGCACTTACTTTCTACATGTTGGCAAGTATTGGGGTGCTTTTAATACATTTTATTGAATATTTCCAGTTTGGTGAGTTGGGCATTTTTATTTCCATACGTGAAATCACAGTGAGTCATGACAACCCGACCTGCTATCAATGTTGTAGAGCTATACTTCATTTTTCTGGTATTGTTGGGGAATTGAAAGTTTTCACAGAACTTAATTTCTCTGAATTGGAATTTTACTTTCAGGACCTGTATGCTTTTTTCAAAATCATTACAATGTCTGTTTTTTAAATTATAAAAATAACACATGCTCATGATTTTAAAAAGGGACAGAAAGTTATGCGAAAAGTAAAAGTAACTTGCTCCTGTGCTTCTTTTACCTGCTTCCCATATAGCTCTTGATCTTGTGTATTCCTCCAGAATTTCCTATACAGTTACTTTCATTTTTCTCTTAAGTTTTTTTTCCATGACTGTACATACTGTTCTTCAAATTGCTTACTTCTTTCCTCTCTTCCTCCTTTCCCTTTTTTCTTTCGTTTCTTAAAATAAATTCTTGGAGAATGTTCTGAGTGGTACATAATAAATCTACTTTATTCTCTCTCCATTTTAAAAATAGCTGTACAGTATTCTATTGTGTGAATATTCCATAATTTATTTAGCTAGTCTCCTATTGATGAACATTTAAGTACCTTTCAGTGTTTTGCTATTTCAAATAATGCTACAGTGAACAACCTTGGATTAATACGTTTTTTGTGTTTGGTGTAAATACACTTGTACCTTGGGTCAAATGTTTTAAATTGGTGGCTATGGTCAAATTACCTTAAAAAAGATTTAACCAGTTTTGATGGATTTTTTTTTTTCCTGAAGTGAATTTACCTGCTGCCCTGTCCTCTTACACATAGTCCGTAGAATGGCTTAAACTTTGGTTGATGACTTCAGCTCAGTGATAAATGGCAACACGACGTGGGTCTCTGTGGCTGGGAGCCCATAGGGATTGGTGGGTTTCACTGAACTGCACATGCCGATCTCAGGTATACTCAGGCCCACCCATGTTTGTCATTGGGAATGCTGACCCAGCCTTGCCAGATCTTAGGATTTTTAAACAGCAACTAGAAATCTGGATGTTAATAAGCAATATTTGATTTTTAAATGTTGGCAACTAATTTATTTAACACCCCCCCAAACAAACACAAAAACAAAAACAGTGAATGAGATCTGTAGATGCCAGAGAGTAATACAGTCTCTGCCTACTTAAATATAATGGATTATTAATTTTATGAGATATTGCTCTATCTAGAATTTCATAGCTCTTTTGTATAGCTTATTCAATTTCTGGTTTTTCAATTTTTCCCCACTTATCCTATATTTAGGCAGTTTGTGAACACTGTTTAGAAATTATCCATCCAGTCCTCTTACGGGTCCTTTTCAGGAATTTTGTACAGCAGCAGGCAGAAGGTGCTCATAAAGTTGGCATAAATAGTCTTCTCTTTCCCCTCATGCTCAGGATTGCTTTCTCCTGCTATATTTGGGAAGGGGTGGTGGGAGGGAGGTTGTCTCCTGCAGTTGCCCAGTTGGTTTTCAGGTAGCAGGTTGCTCCATCTTGGGCTTCAGCACTCTCTGCTGCTGGTTACTTCTGGGAATTCCAGGATCACGGCCCTTGCACAGCTCCCGGGTAGATGCTGAGATGCAGGCTTTGGGGCAGGATGAGATGGGAAGGCTACACTTCCCCAAATGCCTTATCCTTTATTCCTCATAATACCATTGCACCAAGAAAACTCACTGAAGATTTGGGGGTAGAATGAATTACAGTGTAGAGGTCAAATCCTCCCCAACTTCCCATGGGGCCCCTTATCGGCACAACCAAATTCCTAGCCCTGTTTCCAAAGTTGTGGTTTTGTCCTGTCCTCCCTCAGAGATAGTCCCTGCAGCGGACATGGACATGCAGACAACTGCAGGGCTTCCTCCTAGACGGGACTCGAGGCCAAGCTGCTGGGAATGCCAAGTTCACAGCGATCAGCCGTAAACTCCTTCAGTACACTTCCGCTCTTGAATGCAGGTCTCACTCTTCTCAGGGTGGTCCCAGCCAGTTACTGAGCAGGACTGT